TCCATCTCAATGGGAGAAGTCCCAGACGGAGCAGTGAAGGGAAACTAGAATTGAGCAGAGCTGCGTGGGAAGGCAAGGGCCAGGCTAGTACTTCAGTACTTTAACTTGAGTAACTTTTACTTGTATTTGAGTAGATTCAACCCTTAGTATCAATATTTTTACTCGAGTACTAGAGTTGAGTATGTCCACCACTGGAGTCAGCCAAACAGGAGGTGAAATGTAACATGACTATCTATCGGAGAGTTGCACAAGTGTTTATTTTTTTAATTTAATTGAATTGAATTGAATTGAATTGAATTTTATTTTATTTTATTTTATTTTATTTTATTTTATTTTATTTTATTTTATTTTATTCCAATCAGAATACCAGCATTGCACCAGTCTGATAAATGCTCATTTTTATCTTGGATTTGTTGGTTCCTTCAAACACCTTGGCTGAACCTGCCAGATTGTTTCACCTGTCTTRTTCTTGAGATCATTAGTTACCTTCCATTTTCTGTAAATAACTGCTGTTGACATGACTTGTGTACTTGCCAGCTTTTAGTGTCTTAGGCTAGTCTGTCAAGACCCTTGCACTGATTCAGTGTACACACAAAGAAATGCACATACATGTAGCACTCCATGAAATGTGGTCTGCTTACATTAATGTGACTGTAAAGACATTGGATTGAAAAAAGTTGCATTTTCCTGCTGCACTGTCCCCTGGTGGGGTGTGCCATTGCCTGCCGGTTCTCRGGGTCTGGGTCTGGGTGCTGGGGCATGTGCCGGCCCGGACTGGTGACTGCCTGCTGKGGCTCGGGTCCTCTGGAGCTGCTGGGCATTGGCCTGGGGGAGGGTGTGCCCTGGGAGCCTATGCCTCTGTGCCCATACCTCAATCTGCTGTGGCGCAGCCGGTGCCGGCGGGGCCTATGAGTTTGTCGCTGCTGGCCCCTGGGCTTTACTGCATGTGGTCACTGGTGGGGCTCTCCCGGTTCTCCTCTCTATGGTCCGATCTGGGGGATGGGTGGGCAGTTCTTCCTGTGCGGGTGTCCCTGTGGGCTCTGTGCTTGGGGTCCCTCTCAGGGCCTCGGGCTCTGGTCTCCCCTGTGTCTGCCTCAGGTCTTGGGGGTCGTGTCTTTGGTCCTCCACAGTCACTATTAAATATTCCATTGGAGTATATTATATACAGTATGTGCTTTAAAGAAAATTTATATTTATTTTTATTATTATATAGAAATGTATTTTGTTGCTATGTTTTCTTATATCCGTTTATTTTCAGGTGAGCAGACAGATGTCGGGTGTGTTGCCTTGTGTTTTCTTGGTGTATGTTTAACATAATTTCCCTTTCAGTCTTTCCAATTACATTTCCTCTTTTTCTCCTTTCCACTTTCCTCCATATACAGTGTATACTGTATATATACTGTATATACTGTATAT